GCAGGTCAGGAGCTTAGCCTCCAACAGCTGAGGCAGCAGCAACCCGTAGGAAGTGGTGATAGGAGTGAACTTCCTCTCTTTCTTGCGGGGCTGCTTGGGCGTTTGTGGGGTAAAAGAAGGGGTGGCGAAGTTGATAGCGTGTACAGACTCGTCCTTCTTCTTGCCGGCAAGCTTCCTGAAGGAGACATCAGCTTGGGAAGGCCGTGCGATCTTCCCGCTCCTTAATCCTTGCTCCACCCTCTCGCCTACAGTGACTATGTCCGAGAAGAGGTTGGAGGTACTGGCTATTGCCTTGTCGTAGTACGCTCCAGTCAGTGAGTCGATGAACATAGCCACTGTCTCCTTGTCCGTCAGGGGAGGCTCTATTTGGGCAGCCAATTCCCTCCATCTCCGGGCGTATGCTTTGAAGGCCTCGTCGTCCCGTTTGCTCAAACTTCTAAGATCGGATCTGTCGGGTGTCGGATCGATGTTATAACGGTAACGACGGAGGAAAGCATCTCGCGGTTGCTTCCAGTTTTGGACCTGCCCCCTCTCTAACCGCATATACCGGTTGAGAGCGCGTGTCCGCCAAACTCTCCCGAAAGCAATGGATCGGGAGTTTCTCGTTGTCGGCATGGGCGGCCATCTTACGGCAATACATCGTAAGATGGTTCTTAGGGCAGAGTCAGCCCGGCGTATTTGGGGAAGTCCGAGACCTTGAATTTGGGAGGGAAGCGGATGTCCTTCACGAGGCACATATCGGCCACCTCCTTGACGTCGAAGTTATGCCCTTCGACCGCCTTCAGCCTCTCCTCCAGGGCGGAGAGTTGTTGTTTAGACACCTCTGGGGTAAGGACGCATGCAGTTTTAGCGTCCTTATCGCCGAAATAGTACTCCTCCTCCTCTTCCTCATGAGGAGGGATATGCTCAGCTTGGCCCTCGCCTCCCTTGCTCTGGCCTTGGCGTACGACTTCCATTAGTTGGGCCAACTGCTCTCGGAAGGTGTTAACTTCTGCAGTGAGCTTCCGGTTTTGCTCCTCTAGATTTTCCATTGCCTTAGCCTTTTGCGCGCGAGTACGGGTAGGAAAAGGACCAGCCACTTTCTAGAATGTCCGAAAAAGTTTTATTAATGCATGTTGAGTGCTTAAACTAACATGGGATATGCTTGTGCATGGGAGGTTTTATTAAATGATGCTGAATGTGCTCTCATTTTTATTTTCTCTCATGGTTTTTCTTTACTCATGATATGATGTAGTATGGATGTTTTGACTTTGTCAAGAGTTGTTTCGTTTATTTTTTGGATTTTTATTTTTTGTTTTGAATTTTTATTTTATAGCCTTTTATCTCTTCTGTCGGAACTGCGTGGCTACTTAGCTTACAAAGAACCTGAAACCAGGCTAGCTAAAAGGCAGACTGTCCGAGATAAAATATGGCTTTATGTGAAAGAATATTTATTGTCCCTTATCTCTTCTGTCGGAACTGCGTGGCTACTTAGCTTACAAAGAACCTGAAACCAGGCTAGCTAAAAGGCAGACTGTCCGAGATAAGGATGTTTATTTGAAAAATATTTTTTGGTTTTTTTTGTTTTGTTGTTTGTTTATGCTATGCAACATACAAATGCGACAAACATATGTGCACACAATTCGACCATCCCCGAACCGGCGATATTTCGTTTTTATCACGAGGTAGGGTTTTCCTGCAGAAAAGTGCATTGGTTTAGGGTAGGTTCTAACTGTTCTCACCAGGCTAAGGCCCCCAAGGTGCCCCCATTATAGGGTCCCCACTCTCCAGCCGTCCGACCATGCTCAACACTAAGGTCAGAGTCGGTCTTGTTGCCAAAAGAGGAAGGTTATCACCTTGAGTGGTGGTTTCCGATCACACTGGTGGGCACACGGCCCTAACTGCAGCGAACCGTACCTGCCACCCACTCCCTATGGTTATCTCTCTTGCCCCCGGGTATAGGAGGAACTGTAGTGTGCAAGGGATTGTGTGCAGTTTATCTCAATCAATTGCGTAAGTATAAACAAACAACAGTTTATTGAAAGTCAAACAATAAAACATGTTATAAATACAATTTAAGGGCAAAAAATGTTATTTTCTTGGTTTATTTATTGTTTAAGCCGGCCCATCACTAAATGGGACTAACTCTCTAGGCTTCCCCAGTGGAGTCGCCATCTGTCGCCGCCGTAAAAAACGAGGCGGTCGGAGCGACGCGATGGTTTTATCGACCCTCTTGTTTTCGCGTTTTTATTGGTGGTTACAACGTCCTTAGGTTGTCCGATAACCGGGCTAACCTAGAGACGAGGTTTTCGAAAAGTGTCCTTGAGTTGTCCGACAACCGGGCTAACCCAAGGACTTATTTATTTTGGGTTCTATGGAGTCGCCACCGATATTTTTACCATAAACATCGGAAAAGGGGTTTTAAAAAGGCGTTGGTTTTCGAAAACCAACTTTGGTCATTAGAACCAGAGTTGGGTAAGGGAGTTGGTTACGTGCAAAGGGAGTATTAGTCCCTTTACGACGCCCCTTTCGGGTTCCCTATGATAGGCCGGCTTATTTTATTGATAAACTAGAAAAATACACTTTCGCCCTTTTTATTCTGCGGAATTTAAAAGTATGACTACATGGCCCTACTGTCTACTGCATAATTTAAAATAAAAGCGGTAAAGGTGGAAGGAGAGAATTTGAACCTCCGAAGCACGCTTTTTATATTAATTCTCTTGGAAAAATAGGGTGCTTTATGGCAGCCCTTCACTCTACAAGACGTCGGAAACCTCTCGAACGCCGAAAATCACTCTTGAACACTCAGAAACTCCGGAAATGCGTCGGAGGGATTCTAGAGAGAAGTTTTAGAGAGAAGGGAGAGCTATGCAGCTGTGGTGTGTGAAAATGAGGGGGGGAGAGCCCCTATTTATAGGTTTTCGCGCTGTCAGATGGCGAGACCGCCGGTCTCGTCTGACAGGGTCGAGACCGCCGTCTCGTCCAACGAGACCGCCGTCTCGTTCTTTACTGGCAACGAGACCCCGGTCTCGTCCAACGAGACCGCCGTCTCGTTTTTTACTGGCAACGAGACCCCGGTCTGGGTGAACGAGACCGCCGTCTCATTTTCATAGGCAACGAGACCCCGGTCTCGGTAGACGAGACCCCGGTCTGGGTGAACGAGACCGTCGTCTCGTTTTCGTAGGCAACGAGACCCCAGTCTCGTTAGACGAGACCCCGGTCTCGTTAGACGAGACAGCGGTCTCGCTTGCTACGCGAGGCGAAACGGCGGTCTGGGTCATCCAGAAGGCAGTCTCGTCCCTTCGAGGCGAGAAAACTTATTTTTCGGCCCAAAAAATCTTCCTATCTTGGTACGGGAGCCTAATAGTCTCTCCTAGTGGCTTGTTAGGCTTCAGCCGTCTTCAAAATAGGGGATCTTCTGACTTTATTTGGAGCCCGGGCGAGATTTGGGGTCTACATTGCCTTCCCATTTCAAGTATGTGTTCTTAGATGATGAAGATGAAAAATCAGTCATTATTTATAGCTCTTTATCTAAAGTTGAAGAATTGAAACTTGTAAAAGTACTTAACGAGAATCGAGGAGTTATAGGATGACATATAAATAACTTGAAGGGGATATGTCCAACTTATTGCATACACAAAATTATGCTAGATAAAGACTATAAACCTATAGCACAACTACAAAGAAGAGTGAATCCAACAATGAAGGAAGTTGTGAAAAAAAAGTGTTGAAACTCCTAGAAGCTAGTATGATTTATGCCATATTTGATAATGCTTGGGTAAATTTGGTGTATGTGGTGTCCAAGAGAGGAGGTACGACTGTTGTAAAGAATGAGTTAATTTCTATTAGAACAGTCACATGTTAGAGGATGTGCATTAACTATAGGAAGCTCGACCAAGCCACTAAGAAGGATCACTTCCCTTTACCTTTCATGGATCAAATGCTAAAATGATTGGTTGGAAAATCACACTTTAGTTTCCTAGATGATTATTCAGTATATAATCTAGAAGATCAAGAGAAGTTTGCCTTCACATGCCCTTTTGGTATGTTTGCTTATCAAAGAATGTCGTTTGGGCTTTGAATTTCCCTTGCAACATTTCAATGGTGTATGTTGGCCATATTTGTGTACTTGTTTGAAAATTGCATAGAAGTGTTATCATATTTGTTATCATCAAAATCATGGGTTTGGTCTTTGTTTGTAACATCTTTAACTTTAAGTCCTATGATTTGTTTTGATAGCAAGTGGCACCCCCAAGGACATCACAAGTTGGCCAAAAGAAGAGGATCCAAAAGCTGATCCAGAAGAATAATTCATGGAGAATTACAATAAGCACAAATTCTCCTATGAAGTATTTGTTGATCGGTTTATACAAATCATGTTAAGAAGGATACTTCCTTAGAGAATAGTAAGATTGTCTCAAAGAGAATATGGCACGTTTTAGACTAAACTAGAACAAAGAAAACGACATCGAGTAATAAGGAATCTCCCTAATGAAATTGACGAGGTATTAATGAAGGAGTTCTATGTCAATGCTTATGATCCTAAAGGCAACATCCCTTGCCAATCTAACACATTCTTACAAATTGACCCTACTCTATTTGGCCAAAGAGCCCATATGGAAGTTTTCTTAATTTTGAAAAAAGATCATTTTGCTATTACAACCACTCTATGTATTCTTGGACATACCTTTGTGTTAGGGGTAGATGGCATATCAGTTCATATTCTCCGAAAGCACTTAACTTCCTTGACTTAGATGTGGAATGTCTTCACCTTCACTAACATGTCTCCAAATACCCACACTTCTGACATTAATCTAGATTGTCCTTATCTTGTCTACTTGCTTATCTAGGGCCTTGACATGGATATTGGATCCTTCATCTCCTGAGAGATAGCATTGATAACAGAGAATAAGAACTACAAGTTTGGCTTTTCGATATTAATCATTACCTTATGCAAGGTGAAAAGAGTGGTTTATGATACTCATGTTTTATTGACTCTCCAACCTAACATTAATAAGTACATCACAAAGAACTGCATCAACAGGACTAACATGACCACTTGTTAAGAGCATGCACTTGTTGTTATTAGCCCATATGGATGTCCATGGGACACATCCCAATTTGTCACCATCAACACTTTTGAAGTAACTATGTCACAGAGGACAGCAAGGGAGGATGTTCTTTGTCAAGGGCAGTATTGGATCATGAATGACTTACATAAGTTATCCCTTTTATCCTCTTAGGTACCAGATAACTATGTCATGACTAGTACCTAATTTGATGCGTGAGTTCCATGGCCTGAGGACATGCCTCCTTCACCTGGATAGGATGGTGTTGGTGGAGGCGATGATGCAAAGGTTGGAGGACAAGAAGTGGTTGTTGGATGGATGTTATGATAATGACTAAACAAAATTTGTTTTCTTTTATTCTCTCTATTTCTATTTAAATTTTGTTAATGTGAATAGTTGTAGTTGATTAGAACTTTTAACTGTTAGTCAGACTGGATGTCAGTTGTGTTATTGTAGTACTTGTACAATGATCATGATTTCTTAATACTTTTACAATTTACAAGCATGATGTGTGTATTTAAGAAAATTTGTTTGAGTTATGATATGCATGTTTGTGTTTGCATTGAAATTCATGTTTGTGATACTTAAGTTAATGAGTGCACTAGAGGGAATATGTTGGTAAAATGAAGAATTGTGAGCATAATACACGAGGATGTGAAAAAGTTGTTGTTATGGACATTTAATTAATTTTACATGATTTTTTGTAATACCATGATTATTGCAAACTTGTTTAGAGATGATAAAGACAATTTTTGTTCTTTTTCAATAAGAAACTACTTAGCTAAAAAGACTATAATAAAACAAATTCAGCCCACACCCTATGAAAAGGAGAACATTTGATTAATATGACTCTTTACATGAGATTAAGTTTGGGGGAGAAAATCAAATGATAAAGAAATAAATGAGTGAAGCATATGATTGTATATTATCACTCACTCTTCTTGAGAAATTAAAAATGTGTGTGTGTGTGTAAAAGTTTGGGGGAGAAAATCAAATGATAAAGAAATAAATGAGTGAAGCATATGATTGTATATTATCACTCACTCCTCTTGAGAAATTGTGTGTGTGTGTGTGCGTGCGTGCGTGTGTACGCGTGTGCGCGTGTGCGTGTGTGCGTGTGTGTGTGTGTGTGTGTGTGTGAACCTCATGAGACTACTATAATATGTATAATGAGATAATGACCACCTCAAACACAAATTTAAATGAGTGAAACACTTACATTACCACATGTTCTTCTCTTTTTTATGTACTATCTCATGCTTGGTCTAAGATTTGGGTAGGGCTTTTTATATGTTCTATGAGCATCATGACATGAAAATTTTACTTATGGTTGTGTAAGCAATTGGATTTGAGACATGTTTTATAAATTTGAAATTGTTAAGAGTGTTTTGATGTTTTTTTTTACACAATTTGGCAACCAAGTTTAGTTAAATACTTCAGAGATTTTTTTTTGTATGAGAACATACAAAACTTAAAGTTTAGGAAAATTGATAAGTGTGATAAAATCCTATTTCATCTACTTATTAAAGCTTTTTCTTACTTTTATGTCATGCATTTTCTTTCAATTTTGTTAAAAATAAGTTTAATTTTTGTTAAGAGCATTTTGATATAAAAGGTCAAATTACTATTTATATTTTGTGAAATTTTAAACTGGAACTGTAACAGAAAACAAATAATTCTTCAATTGGAAACGTAATTAACAACTAAAACATGCTAAAGTCTCTAGTGAAAAGAATGTGCTAAAGTTTCCTTCTCAACTCTATATAAATTGTTCTAAAGGAAGGAAAACTAATGGGTCAAAACTAATTTAAAATTCAATACAGTATAAAAAAAAAAGCTAAACTTTTATAATTTATTAAAAATAATTCTGGATGCTAAACAACTTTGAAGTCCAAAAAATAAGAAATCTAACGCAAAAAAAATCAACTTAAACATACATTTGTAAAAAAAATATAAACGAAATAATAAACAAAAATCAATACTAAAAAATAAAAAATATAAAAAATTGTATGTATTTAATAAAACTCCTATTTATTATTAAAAATACAAATATATGTTAAATGTAATGAATAAATGAAAAAAAAAATACAATAAAATTATAAAAATGTCTATAAAATATGTCATTAAAAGTCTAAGGTCTATCAATAAAAAAAAATTATTCCTTTTAAAAATCAGATTGTGTTGACATCATATTTGATATAATAGTATTGTTAAAATTTATGATGAAATATTGTTGAATTTAAAATTTTAGTTACTTACAATTTTATCTTTATAAAATATCTCAGTAAATTAAAAAAAATATTATATATAAATTATCTTTATTCTCGCCCTATTAATAATAAGCGACCCAATATACTTCATTATATTTCATTAAAATAAGTTACAATTTTTATAAAAATAAATTTGTAATTCAAAGCTTCTCAAATTTAAACTAACATGTTTTGCGTGGATAACTGACATCGATAACTGGCATGCAGATTGGTTTAAAAGCCCAACTAATCATTGGTAATTGAATTGTACTTCCTTATTCATGGTAAAAGCCCAACTGTTTTCTTCTTTTGAGTAAAAGCCCTAGAAACGTCAACATATTAAAATTTGTTTTAATTTGTAATTAAGAAATAAAATTATCAATATTTTAAATATAAAATATAAAATATAAAATTTGATCGAATGTATTAGTTACTCGTTTACTATTTTTTTTCTTTTGTTTTGTAGTGAATATTTTACAAATAAAAACTCTTTAAGGCTTGACAATAAACTAACATGATTTAAATTGTGAAAATTATTTAGTTAGAAAGGTGATGAAGCATCCATCAATTTTGAGAAATTAATCCTTATAAAATTATAAAAATATTAAAAAAATCGACGGAAAAAAAAGGGTCAAATTGAGTTTGGAAGTAGAAAGTGTGCAAATAAACTTCATATAAGATGTAAAAAAATGTCTGCTAACGTATAGTTAGAAGTTACTTGTTTTTAAATTTTTGTTTATTTAATTAGTAGCTTATAATTTTTGTAAGAATTTTAGTGTTAAAAAGTGTTATACTCAGCTTCTCTTTTCAAGATAATAATAATCTTAAAAACAGTTAGACCGACACACTCTTATCATTTTTCTTTCCTACAATTATATTATTCAGTCTTTTAATGTTTCAATAAATCAAATATAATACTTTTACGCTTTGTATCCAAAATATAAAATAAAGAGACATCTTAAAAAAAAACATTAAAGAGATGTAGATTTATATTCAATAGAATTAATGTCATATTTTAAATATTGGTGTCAACCTACATGGATGCATACTAAAGGAAAATAAACTCTAATAAACAAGTCCAAATCATTTTTTTTCACAAGAAAAAATATTTTCCTTAAATTGTTTTTTTACCAATTATGGAAATTTCATCAAATTCAGTCTAGTAATTCTTGTTTTGTATAAAGACTGTCCTAAGAATCAGGGGCCGCTCAAGGATTTAGGAGGCCTAAAACAAATTTAAGAATGAGGCATTTTATTTAGTAATAAAATGATTTATGTTAAAATGTATCTTAGTTTTTTTTTAAATTTATTTTTCAAACTTTTTGTGATGCAAAATTATCTATTAAATTGTCATAATTAATTTTATTTAATATTTCTTTTTCAATAAATAATAAAGTCAATCCATTTAATCTTTGTTGAGATATGATTTAAATAATTTTTTACTATTTTTAATTTTGAAAAACTCGATACTGGAATTGTTAATATTGTTCTATAAGCTATATATGCATTTGGAAAAGAATTTATTCTTTTTATATAATTAAGAATGTCAATTGGTTTATCATTTTCCAATCCTATAATTTCCTTTAAGATATTTAATTTTAAAAATAAATCTAATCCATTAAGATCCAACAAATTATCATGTTTAAATTTTTTTTAAGGTTTAAGCATTTTTCTTTCAAAAGTATATAGTTTAATGATTTTAATTTTTTAACACTAAATAAAAAACCAAAAATATCTTCATATATTTTAAATTGTTCAAATCTACTTTGAAACATAGTAATTGTTTTATCTACAATATACAAAAAGTAATCAATTATAAATGATTCTTGAAAAGATTTTACAATTTCATTATCAACATTTTCATCAAATTGTTTCTTTCTACGGCTAATATGTTTTTCATGAAACTTAGGCTCTATATCCATTTTAAAAGTAATTTCCTTAGCAAAAATCAATGCATTTTCAAATCCATTTTTCCTGTACTTTTCAAAAAATGAAAGGAGATCTTTTAATTTTTCAATGACTTCATCAATGCACATATCTTTTGATTGTAAATTCTTACTAATTGAGTTAACTGCAAATAAAATGTCATACCAAATATTCATACCTAACAAAAATTCAAAATTTTCTAATTCATAAGTTGTTAAACAATCAGCTTCACTTTTTATTTTAGGATCATCACTAGCTTCAGCTAATTCAAATAAAACATCTCTTATTTGTGAAGTTTGAAATCTTACAGCTTTCACGCTTTCAATATGGCTTTTCCAATGTGTTTGTGACAACGATTTAAGAGTTAAGTTATGTATATAGTTTTGTAAAATTTTCCACCTTTTCGTAGAAGAAGAAAATAAAGTATATATACATTGTAACACACCAAAAAAAGATGTAGCTTTAGGTCAAGAATTAGCCATATCACAAAGTACTAAGTTTAAACTATGATAATCACACAAAGTACTAAGTTTACCTGATATGACGCATTATCGCACTGCAAAGAAAGAAATGTCAAATAACTCCTTACTTGAATTGCATTGTCTCCTTCTACCCCTTGAAATCAATAAAATCGAAATACATATAAGCATAACACCAACAACCAATACAAGTACACAACATATAAGAGATGACTCATACGAGAAATTGAAAATATTAAGTCATTAACTAATGTGTTATGTATATGTATCAAACATTCAAACTGAGTAGTCTGAAAAGTAAAAAAATGAATAGATGAGAACTAAAAAATCACATAGAAAAAGAAGAGAAGATAAAAATTAAAATTAATTGGTAAAAGAATATAGATAAAAAAGAAAAACTTTTGGACTTCTTTAACTATTAATATTAACTAACCAATTTTTTTTCTTAAAAACATTATGATTTATTAAAAAAAATTGTTAAAAAATAATATTAATATTAAAAGAAATTTGGGAGGCTTTTTTTTAGGGTGCCTAAAGCAAAAGCTTTAGCTACTTGGACCTTAAGCCGGCATAACCTACTTCCTGATAAAAACAAAATGAGTAAAACTAAATATGTACTTGTGCAAGCATAAAGATTTTATTTAAATAATGCCAAATTTCATTAAGTAATGTTATTTATTAATGGACATATCTTATCATATGTTCTATAACTTAGCTAAATTCCAATTTTTTTTTTAATATGCTCTTTCATAAATAAATAAATAAGAGTGTGGATAACATTATTCTCTTAGTCCCACAAGAATGGGATAATAAACTGTCTTTAGGAATGCCCTACGGATATTAGAACCAAAGACATGATAAGAAATGGGAACTACACATCACACAGTACTTTATTGTTTTTTTTTTTCTAAATACCAAGAAATGAATAAATAAATATGTTTTTAATATGATAAATCAAATTTTATTTTTCAAAAAGTTTGTTATGATAAAAAATATGTTTTTAGTCCTAAAATATTAAAATATATTTTAGTCTTAAAATAACATTTCATACTCCAGAGTATAATGTTAATTATGTTTTCAGATAAAATAGATTTTAAATACCTTAAAAAAAACATAATTGTAATTTTTCTTTTAAGATTAAGCTCTTATTTGTTTCCAGCAATGGAAACATGTAAGACGCAATAGGTATTTCAATGCATAAAGTTTTTTTTTTTTTTATTCTTCTCTCTAATACAAAATAAAATAAAAAAATTAGATATAATAATTAAAGAATTATATTAAAATAATAAATAAATTTATTAATAATAAATAACTTTACTTTATTTTTAATTTATTTTCACTCTTTTCTCTTAATTCAAGAAATTTTATTTTCTATTTTTCTTTTCAAATTCACTCTTTGATCCAAATGAAAGAAGTGTTATGTAACTTTTAACCTATGTTGGAATAATTGGTTTGTGATTTTTTGAATAGAAAAGTCTAAAGTGAAGTGACCTTTAGCAAGTTTACGTATGGCATTCAATATGTTTCGGATGTGTCGGTTTCGCGGGGCCGATGAGTGTGAAATTGTTTCTCTTACAGACGATTGTCAAGTGTTTTTGTGAGGTTTTTGTCGGTACACGAGTGTATTAAAAATAAAATAAAAATTCACATAATACCTCCAACAAACCTCTAATCAATGCTTTGAGTTATAAAATATAAAATTTTCAAGAAATCAATGGCCTAGATTTCTTACAAACCTTGCATTCGTTATTAACATGTGAAAATTTCGGAACCAAAATAGTTATAATATTAGGTACAAATAAAAGAATGAAACAAGTGTGAGGATATAATTTTTATGAAATATAGAATATATTTAGCTAATTTTTGGACTTTAAATAAAAAACTAAATAATATATTTTCATAAATTAAAATCTACTATTTTTCTAAATTTTTATTTTTCTAATATATATATATATATATATATATATATATATATTAAAATTATGTTAAAATTGAGGTTAGAAAGTGACACATTGAAATTATTTGTGGGAAGAACATAATAAGAAGTTTACTTCGCATAAGATAAACTATTTTCATCTTATTTCTATAAGATTATAGTGAAAAAAAAATTAAGTAATTATATTGGAATGTTGGATTTATAAATAGATAATGGAAACCCTAAGAACAAGAGTGCCACTTTAGAAGATGATAACATATAAAAGAAGTTAATATTTTAAAATGTTTTTTAATTAATGTAGTTGATAGAATAATGTTTTAAAATATTGTCTTATTGAAAGGGTATGAAAAATGTGTTTTGTTTGGTAAATTGTACGTTAAATAGTCATTTGAATCATTATTTTTATTGGTTTTAGTTTTTATTTTGACTTCTTGTTCAAATGACGTCTTAAAAATACTCAAATAATAGACAAAATAGTATAAATGATAATTTAAATAGTGATTATTCACTTAAACAATTAACTATAGTTTAAGAGATGGGTTATTTAATGGTTGTTCATTTAAGTGAAGAAGTAACCACATGAAAGATAATTAATAAGTATCTTGCATAAGTGAGTAGTGGGAACTTAAGCTAGAAATATGTAGAGGAGATATAATTGATTATATAAGTATTTCACTTCTAAACTCAAATTGAAAACTATTAAGAAAGGTATAATTGATTATATTTATTAGTCACTCAAACCAAGGAAACACTAAAACAAATAATTAATGTTTTAGCTTCCAAAGTTAATTCACTAAAGTAAGAAGTTGTCATTTAAGGAAATAAGAAACAAAATCAAATGTGTTAACATTAGAAGTAAATCGCTCAAGTACCACTATTTGGAAAGAATAAAAGTGAATTAAGAGGTAATAATTTGTGATGTGTTATAGATTTATGTATGTTGATACATGTGAGATAGTTTGTCTGCGATTCTGACCAAAATTAGTAATACAATGGAGGAGCTATCAAATTATGTTCATGTGGTGACTAAGATTAGCGGATTTAATAAGATATCTTATTTTCATTAATAATGTCAAAGTAACATATGGTGAGAAATCGTAAGGGAGATTCTTCATAACATGATTTTTTTATGTGTACGCAACAGAAATAAAATAAAGTTATCAAGAATTTACCTTTAGCATAGGTATAACTAAAATGTTATACAGTTCTAATTTGATTGTTTAACTTTAGATATGATGCATATGCATTAGTCTCTTTATATATGAATTGAAATACTAAATCTTCATATATGCTAAAATTCATATTCGAAATATGAAGATATAAAAAGTAAGTTGTTTTACAGAAGCTAAAATGAATATGTTATTTTCAATCTACTAAACATTTATTGAGTATTTTAAGCTAAGGGAAAACTAATTAATAATTCCTACTATTTTAGTTACATGGGCATGTTGCTTAGGTGTTGGAATAAAAGTTTTGACCTTGGGTTGCACAAATATCTTAAGAAATTAGCCAGAGGTATTAAGGT